TTTTAAAATATTTTTTAGCTTTCTGATAAACCCTCCTTTATAATATATCAAATTTTAAACATTCTTCTTTCAAACACATTTTTAGGAATGCATTTCCCTTGAAAGTAGGAAATGCCTATTTGAACTTATCTGTTCATACCTCTACTGGCTTATTAGCTACCTTGAACAGAGAGACAGCCTTTGTATAGTTTTGTATTTTAAGTCAATGACAAAATAAGTTTTCAATAAATATTTGCTGAATAAATTAAACATTCTCAAAAAAAATGTAACCAGGTAATTCTCCCTTGAGGCCATAATTAAAACACAGAATTCCCTTCTGCTTCCCTTTAGGAAATATTTCTTCCATAAAAACAACAGCACCTGAAATTCCACTTCCTGTGACAGTGTTTCTTGGGAGAAAGAGTTGTCAAACCTATATTTGAATACCATTTCTGCCACTTAATAGCTGTATGACACTGAGCAAGTTACCTAACTTCTCTAAGACTCAGTTCTCTCACCTATAAAATGGGGATAACACCACCTACTTACTAGGAATGTTACTAGGATTAGAAATACACAAGCAGTCTTCACTTTGCAGAGTTCTAATATGCACAAATTTCAGTTACCACAGTTTCATTAAACAATACCGATTCTCTGACAACACAATTCAAATTTCAGTTACCACAGTACATTAACTGTGAATAACTGAATACAGTACAAACCACTACTAGATCATCAATCCACAAATGACTATGTAAATAATAGAAGCACATCACGATCGGTGACTAACCAAGTCACTTCTTTTAAAGTTTGTTGGTGGATTTGACAAAATAAATTGCAAAGGAACAACTATTAGGCCGTTGGTGGACTCCTCATCAGTAACAGTAAAAGCCAGGATACAATGGAATATTATCTTCAAAGTGCTGACAGAAAAATATCTCTCTGCCTAAATTTCTAACTATAGATAAAAGACCAGGCAGGGCAAAGTCTGTTGGTGTTTAGTCACTGCACATCTGTTATTCAGTTCATGTACAGACGGCAAAGCATACAGCTGAGTTGCCTCCTTGTCTCCTGGTGATGAATGTATGTGACATGCTACAAAAATGGATAATTGAAAGGTGGAACAGGCCAACAATGATGAAAGTGCAGCAAAAAAAACAAAAAGTAATAGTGTTAAGGGGGTGGGGGAGGGATGGATTGGAAGTTTGGGATTAGTAGATGCAAACTATTATATAGAGAATGGATAAACAACAAGGTCCTACGGTACAGCACAGGGAACTATATTCAATATCCTGTGATAAACCATGATGAAAAAGAATATGAAAAAGAATGTATATATGTATAACCAAATCACTTTGCTTTATAGTAGAAATTAATACAACATTGTAAGTCAACTACACTTCAATAAAATAAAATTTTTCAAAAAAGTAATAGTGTTGGAAATAAAATCCCAATCAAACATAAACGGAGTTATAGAAAAAATAACTGACATGACAATGTTGACCCTGTTGCCATTCAAGAGACTAGATATGCAGCCAGAGGAACTTAGTGAAGGCAAACTTACCGACACAAATGAAGAAAGTGATTGTGAGAAAAGGATGAAGATGGAACAGAAGTGAACCAGCAAAAACTCTGCATTAAAGGAACTCTCAGAAATATTTCACAATATTGAAAGTGCAAAGAATGAAATGTTGGAACCTGATCCAAAGTTAGAAAGGAGCATGACAATCCACCAAGGCATAGAAAAAAATACTCATTCCATATCATAAGTTACATGACAAGAAGGCAAGTACTACTCAAATTACTCTAGATAAGTTCTTCTACAAAGAAATAACACATTTTAATTCTCAATGTTTTTAATGTTTTAAATTACAGTGTACTAAATAAATATTGGTTTTAACATTTTCTTCATTTCTCCATATATTTGTGACTAACAATAAGAGGATTTACAATGTTTGACAAAAATGTGTAAAGGTCATGGAATACTCATAACTTTTCTCATTGATTATGAAGATTATTTTGCCAGGTTTTAACTTGCATGGTCATTTGTATTGTCCCATACTACCATGCAAAGTACCTGTAGCTTCTGGCACACCAAGGCACTTAGTATTTCACAACTGAAGAGAAACTGGCTACCTTTTCCCCTCATTCTTACAATCCACCCAAGCAAAAAAGGAATATGAGCTCATCTTGGATGACGTTAAGAAGACAGCGTTTCAGGTTTTTCAGTGACTGAGAACTGTTGCCATCTTTACATGCAATTCCCCAAACTTGTCCTTAGATTACCCAAAACACACACACCCCAATGCTGAAAGATAGGCTTCCTGAATAGTTATTCAATTTGTCATCTGTGATAGCATACTGTGTCATGCTTGTCCTCATCTCCTGCAGGCAGGGGCAAAACAATGAATGTGTGATAGAAGTAATACGGTAGAGTAGCTTTAGAGTCAGACCTCAACTTGAATACTACCTCTACCCCACTTTTTGCAACCTTAGATAAATTACTTGTTAGAGTTTCAATTTCCTAAGCTGTGAAATAAGGATAATAATGCCTTCTTTTTGGTATTATGGTAAATATCGAAAAAGATAAGATATATGAAGTGCTTAGCAAAATGTGGTACATAGTAAGCACTTAGATATAGCTATTATCACATTATTATCCTGAATATTTCTATCATTACTGTAAATATTATAATGATGATAAAGTTGCCATTTGTTTTAAACACATTATTAATCAGCCTATTTTTCAAAGATCAAGTCTCTTACTCAAAGATATGATAGACACACACCACTTGCTGGGAGAGAAGGTTGACCTCAACCTCCTCCAGATCATTTTCTCCCAAGGTACAAGTGCAAAGGGCTGCCAACACTCACTCATCCTGTTCTTGCAACCCCTGATTCCTATGTCAAAACCCTCCCTGCTGGCTGCTCAGAGTTTCCTCTTCTGAGGTCATTAAGAACTAAAGCCATTTCCCATTTCTCAGAGCTATCTGTCAGAACAGTAGTATCTTGCTGTCTCATAACTCACATGACTTAACTGTCGGTTTGCTTTTTTGATTCTAATCCCAGTTTTCTCTTTTGACTCTAATCCTTCATTCTAAACTAAGAGTCATTATTACCTATATTGACCCATAAAGCTGCAAAGGACCTAAAGGCCAACTAAAACCAACCCCTTTTCTCTACCAAACAATTAATTCCCCCTAAAATATCCATGTGAGTTAGTTGAGCAAGGTCTGTTTGAACACTTTCAGTGACAGGAGGCCCTCTACCTTTCAAATCAACCCATTCAACGATTATAACTTTAAAATTTTCCTTACATTGAAGCAAAGTCTCTCCCCTTACAGGCAGTTTCCACCCATAGGCTCTAATTCCACATTCTAGAGAAATACAGAAAGCTTAACTGCTCTATATCACAGCCCATTCAACATTTTAAGAACCCTGAGTTTCACTCTTCCACATTACAAATTTCTAGTTCAGAAAGCACAATTTTAAGTCCCTTCTCTCGTGGACCTCCTCTGGACCACGTATGGGCTTGCCAACGTGATCTAACAGCAAATTGATAAAGCACTTCCTTTGCCAACATTTGAGCTGCCGAGTAATTATACTACGAATGACCCCTTTGCCCATACTCATCCATTATTATATAAAAATTATTAATTTAAGCTAGTAGTTCAGGAAAAGTAACTCTCAGCCTAAATCACAGTTTAAAGGGAATAGTACTAAAACTCTTAAAAACTACCAAGAGTTCTCTCTTTTTTTTTTTTAATCCTAGCCAATTACTGGGAATGCAATAAAGTAGGATCAGCTGGCATGAAAGTCTTGCCTCTTTCCTACAAAGCCAAACACATGTCTGGGACAAAGACCCAACAATGGGAAGGTTAGCTAAAAAAGAGTTTTGCTTCATGTCCTGAGAAAGCTGAGCCAATTAAAAGAAGGCAGTAATAGTGAGTCAAAAAATATTCTCTGCACCTTTTGCCAGAAGCAGGTACCTGAAGAAGGATCAAATGCTGTGCTCTCAAAACCTGACCACAGTAAACTACAGAAAAAGAAGTGGCAGATTTTTCCTGTTCCTAGCCTGCAAGGAACAATCATCTGGGGAAATACACACACACAGCACCCCAAGGGGCCAGTCAGGGGCAGCAGCTGGAGGAAGATTCTTCCCCAAGTCCTCAGAAGGTGTAATCAGTGAAAGTAGCGTCCTCAGAAGAACCTTAACCTTCGTCAGGTAGTCGGAGAGAAGGCAGAGTGGAGTAGGGACTTGATACCTTGTGCTCTTAGGAACCTGGCACGAGCCGGAAGGTACAGACTAGATGCTGCCTTCTACTCCTGGTGCAAGGAGACAGCTGAATGATCGTACTCAGAAAGGAGGTGATCGCTGGTGCCCGAAGATATCCTGGTGAGACTGGGCTGGGGGGTAAGGGTTGGGGGTCGGTAGCTGAGACCGGGAAAACCGTTCCCTGGAGGTGACCGAAGGAGGACTCACAGGAACAGAGAACGAGGAAGGGAAAGACCGCGTTTTCACGTATTTGGGGGAAGACTGAGCTAGGACCTGTTCCCTTCTGTGCCCTTGCGATGAAGGTGGTGGCAGCAACAGTAGAAGCAGGTGTCCCGGGCCCTCATTCAAATGAGCAGAGTCCCCCACTGTCCCAAGCTCTACTCGGGCTGCCCCCACTTGCCCCTCAGGCAGCGAAATCCCCATTCCCAACCCTGCCCCTCAGGCTTCCCCTAAGGTCAAGCAGGGGCTCCCCACATCTCTTCCGCCCCCCAACCTCCAGGCCCCCCTCAACCCGTCCAGACCGGCCCTCCTCAACCGCCACACTGGATTCCCCTAGCTGCTGCCTTCCTCCGCAGCATTCCCGTTCCTGTCCCCTGGCCCGGTCTCCCCACGCCACCTCCCCGGGCCAGGCCCCGTGCCTCCCCCGGCGGCCAGGTCCGCCCTCTCCCTTCCTCACGCGGCGTCTCCCCTTCAGACCGGCGCCCTCCCTCCCTCGCTCCCGCCTCACGCCGGCACCCGCACTCACAGAACTCGGCGATGTACCAGGTCACCGTGTAGTTCTCCTCGCACCAGTCCAGTGTGGAGGTCGTGGGGCCCCAGTAGCCCTCGCGGTCTCCGGCCGGAGCCATAGCGTGCGCCGCCACCGCCGCCCAGGCGCTCCGCACGTTGCGCTTGGTTCCGCGGGTTCCCAGGCCGGCCCTGGCCCTGCTGGCGCGCTAGCCTCGCGCTCCACCCGCTCTCCCTCCCCGAGGGGCGGGGCCCGGCGCCGTCAGAGACCCGCCCGGCCTGAGACCCCGCCCACCGCGGCCGGCGCAGGGCCCAGCCGGAGGGCGCCGGGACTGCCCTGCCCCCTCCTTCCCAGGGAAGGGGTGTGAGCTGGGCCACCGGCCCCGCCTCGACACGCCCTTGACTGTGGGTTGGGCGTTCCTGACATCCCCGAGGCTGTTTTCTATCTGGATGCTGGAGCTTCAGTGAGTGTGCGGGGGGGAGGGGGGCGGTGTTGATTTTACTGCGGCGGGGGTGGGATGAAGTCTTCAATCAAGCCCTGGCTTGATGAAACCAGTGCAGAGAGGCACCTCAGTGTGTTTCTTCATCCGCAGGCCTGAAAAGGAACTCAGAAACCCAATACTCCCAGCCCCATTGGGGACTCCCAGGAAATAATAATTTTCTGATAAAGGTATAAGTGTCACCTGGGAACAAAGGGAAAGGGCAACAAACCCCGGACCGAGCAAAAAGAAGGGGGGGGGGGCACTTAGGGATCCTAAAAAACAGTGCAGCCAGAGCACTAAAGCAGAGTTTACCTGCTTCCGAGCTCAGAAGTTTCTACCTTCCAGCAATCTATAATTGTGTTCTACTCTTAAGGCAACCAACAGCCTTCCCTAGCTCAGAATGTGCAGGGTCCACTCTCATCTTCCTGCCTTTGCTCCTGCAGTTCAGCTGGGACTGCCTGCCTTCCTCTCTTCTCCATTTAGCTAATTTCCACTGGTCCTTTAGAATCCAACTTCCTGAAACCCTCCCTGACTCTCACCCCCAAGAGCTCCCTTGACCTTTGTTCACATCCTCCAGTGATAGATACATCCTGATCTGAAAGTTTGATTTCCATTCTTTATGGTCCTAACACCCAGAACTCCGCCTGACCAAGCAGTTTGAAATGAAGAGTATAGTTAAGGATGACACAACTGCTATTTTCTAAAGAAATAAGTCAATTAAGGTGTAATTGAAGGTAAAACAAAAAAAAAAAAGTAGAGATGAGGCATCCACAAAGCCTCTATACAAAGTGACCCTACTGGATGACAGAGGCAGAACCTTTACTTGCAGGGTGCAAAACCTAGGAATAGAGGCTGTGTTTTAATAGAAATAGTGGGATATCGAAATTTTTCTTTTGAACAGCAGACATTGAGCTTCTGCTATGTACCCTGCCTTTGGCTGGGTGCTAGGAACATGTGGAGGTAAACAGTAAAGATTCAAGATGGCAGTCTCCAGAGAGATTAATAAAATTGAGGTGTGGGAAAACTTCTATTTCTAGTCATTTTTTATCTTGTCCTCTAAAATTTCTGTCTCGTGTATTCTTAATATGTATATTAATCATAAGTGTATATAATTTATAAATGAATAAATATACATATATTTGTATACTCATAATGAATATGCAGAAATACATACTAAAAGTGATTTGCTGATGAGAGTGCAATAAAAACTGTAGAGACCACAACCGTAGACTGTGATAATACTTGCTAGGAGTAAAGCAAAAATTAAGGTTTGGTGGGAGCCCTTATGTGGAAAGAACCCCTAACTCAGCCAAATGACTCAAAGCAGGGGATGAGGTCTTGGCTAAATTAATACCTTGTCACATCAACAGTTACAGGGAGGTGGGACCTACCATGACCAGGACAAAATTTAGAGGAGAAAAATTAATTTTTCTCACCAAGGCAAAAGGTGCACTGCAGTAGTATCACTCAGAAAACACAAATGTATCTCACAGGTCCTTCAGCAATGTCTGTCCTCCTTTCTCTCTTTTCTAAAAAACTACCCCCTGCCAGTATAAATGCAATGCATGGAAATGTAAGGAACCCAGAACAGCCAAAACTATCTCGAAAAAGAACAAAATTGGAGGACTTACACTTCCCGATTTCAACACTTAATACAAACCTACACTAATCAAGACAGTGTAGTACTGGCATAAGGATAAACATGTAGATCCATGGAATAGAATTGAGACTCGAGAAATAAAAACTGTAAATTTATGGTCAGTTGATTCTCAACAAGGATGCCAAGGGAACGAATAGTCTTTTCAACAACTGGTGCTGTGACAACTGGATATCAGTATGCAAAAGAATGAAATGAGATTGCTTCCTGCCATAATAAACAAAATTTAACTCAAAATGGATCATAGACTTACATGTACGAGCTAAAACCATAAACTCTTAGAAGTTTATATAAAAGTAAACCTATTGTGTAACCTAGGGTTAGACAATAGTTTCTTTTATAAAATACCAAAAACACAGGTGACAAAAGAAAAAAATAGATGAACTGGACTTCAACAAAATTTAAAACTTTTGATACAAATGATACCAAAAATAGGAGAAAACATTTGCAAATCATATATCTGATAAGAGACATATTCTGAATGTATAAAGAACTCCTATGACTCAAAAAACGAAAAATAACCCCCCAAAATGGGGAAAGCAACTGAATAGACATTTCCCCAAGCAAGATATACAAGTGGCCTATAATCACATGAAAAGATGTTCATATTTGCCATAGTAGAAATGCAAATCAAAACCACAATCAGAGACGTGGATGGACCTAGAGACTGTCATACACAGTGAAGTAAGTCAAAAAGAGAAAAACAAATATTGTATATTAACGCATATATGTGAAATCTAGAAAAATGGTACAGATGGACCGGTTTGCAAGGCAGAAATAGAGACACAGATGTAGAGAACAAATGTATGGACACCAAGGGGGGAAGTGGGGGGGGGTGAATTGGGAGATTGGGATTGACACATATACACTAATATGTATAAAATAGACAACTAATAAGAACCTGCTGTATAAAAAATAATTAAAATTCAAAAAAAACCCACCATCAGATGCTGCTTCACACACACTAAGATGGCTGTAATCAAAAAGACAAACAATATGGGACTTCCCTCGTGGTTCAGGGGCTAAGGCTCTGCACTCCCAATGCAGGGGCCCCCGGTTTGATCCCTGGTCAGGGAACTAGATCCCACATGCCGCAACTAAGAGTTCACATGCCACAACTAAAGTTCCCACATGCCGCAAGTAAAGATTCCCCACACCGCAATAAAGATCCTGCGTGCTGCAACTAAGACCACATGCAGCCAAATAAATAAGTAAATAGACAAACTAACAATTGTTAACAAAGATATGGAGAAATTAGAACACTCACACATTGCTGGTATGTAAAATGATGCAGCCACTTTGAAAAACAGTTCCTTAAAATGCTAAGTGGAGTTACTATATGACCTAACAATTCTACTTTTAGGTATATACATATATATATATATATATATATATATATATATATATATATAATTCTACTTCAAAAGACTTGAAACATATGTCCACAAAAAATTGTACAAGGATGTTCATAGCAGCATTACTCTCAATAGCCAAAGAGTGGAAACAAAGCAAATTCCATCAACTGATAAATGAATTAATAAAATGTGGAATATCCATACAATGGAATATTATTTGGCAATAAAAAGAAATGAAATACTGATACAAGTTACAATGTGGATGAGCCTAGAAAACTATGCTGCATCAAAGAAGTCAAACACTAAAGGGTACGTATTGTATGATTCTGTTTATACAAAACATCCAGAGCAGGCAAATCTATAGAATAGAAAATAAGTCAGTTGTTGGCTGAGAGAGGGAATAGGAATGCAGAGTGACTGCTAGTGGGCACACACTGGTTTCTTCAGGGATGATGAAAGTGTTCTAAAATTAGTTTGTTTTAATGGTTGCACAACTCTGTAAATATGCAACAACAAATAAAATGAATTGTATACTTTTTAAAAAATTAATTTATTTTTATTTTTGGCTGTTTTGGGTCTTTGTTGCTGTGTGTGGGCTTTCTCTAGTTGCGGTCTTCATCACGGTCTTCTCATTGTGGCTGCTTTTCTTGTTGCAGAGCACGGGCTCTAGGCGTGCAGGCTTCAGTAGTTGTGGCACATGGGCTCAGTAGTTGTGGCTCGTGGGCTCTAGCGCACAGGCTTAGTAGTTGCGGCTCACGGGCTTAGTTGCTCCATGGCATGTGTGATCTTCCGGGACCAGGGCTCGAACCCATGTCCCCTGCATGGGCAGGCGGATTCTTAACCACTGTGCCACCAGGGAAGTCTGAACTGTGTATTTTAAATTGTACACTAAATGTTCTAAATAGTGGAACTGTGTGGTATGTGAGTTATGTCTTAATAAAGCTTTCTTTAAAATACATTCTCATGTTGGAAAAATTAGAAAATATCCAAAAAAGTGTAAAAAATAAAGGAAATCACCTACAATCTCACCAACTAGCAATAACCATTGTCAACCTTTAAGTATATTTTATTCAAGCATTTTATCTATGGATTATTTTTCACATGATAGAGCTAATAATGCCTTTATACAGCATATTTTTTCATTAGCATTTCTCATGCCATTAAAAAATCCTTATAAATATATTAATAGTTATATTCAATTTTATAGATAAACCACAATTTACTCAATTATTAAATATCCATGTTACTACTCCCTTACTTCTAGGTATTTAGGTTATTTCCAAAGCCTATATTTATTTTTCAACTAACAAATGAGAACCCAAATTTGAAAGCTTTGAACCAGATTCCTGCT